CAAATAAGCTTCAAATAAAAAATTATCCTCATCCTAAAATGGAAAGGTTCATAATTTTTCTGCCCTCCCTGAGAAAGCTAAACATTTAACTTTCCATAGCTAATAGTTGTGCTCACTAAAAGAATTGCTGTCACAGAGTAGTTATGATAATTACTTTAAATTAGTATTTTTAAATGGCTATTGAGTTTAAAACTCCATATTAAAATACATTCCATTGCCTGGCTGCTGTGGCTCAGTTGATTGAGCATCATTTCATGCACCAACAGGTTGCCAGGTGGATTTCTGATCAGGGTACATGCCCGGGTTGCAGGCTCCATCCCATTAGGGGCTGTGCAGAAGGCAGCCGGCTCATTGATTCTTCTATCTCCCTCTTCCTCTCTCTCTCTTAAAAAAAAAAAATTCATTGAAAATCACCTTCATTTCTTCTTAGGAGCTAGTATGCTCATAAAAGATTTGCAAACTCCATCTGTTGTAATTCTGCCTTTGACATTTTAAAGAATGTCCAAATGATGTGGAATGGATCATAATAGAGAATAAAAATGCTTAAAATATTTTATATCTAGAAAAATAGGACAATCTACATCATATACAGAGCATGCAAATATCATATAGATCATAACATAAATGTGGGGCGGGCTGGGGGAAGGGAGGGAGGCCCCGGCTGGCAGCTGGTGAATTGATTTTGCAGTTGTCAAAAGAAGACATATTTTATTGTACTATTTGGAAAGCTAATTGATCTAATCTGGGCTTATTTCTATGCCCCTTAATTTTTGAAAAATGGTAGTACCGTGACTTTGGAGAATCCTCTCACATTTAATTTAAAAAATCAATTTTTATGATTCTAGATTAGAACCTAGAATTCTTTGTTAAGGTTATCGATGATTAAGAGTATTAGTCTAGCTTTGAGCTGTCCAATAAATTGCAGCATAAATCACATGTGGAATTTTAAAATTTTCAGTATGCACACTAAAATAAGTAAAAAGAAACTAGTGAAATTAATGATATTTTACTTAATATATCCAAAATAATATACTGTATTTCAACATGTAATCAATAGTTTTTATTTTTATTAAATTTATTGGGGTGACATTGCTTTATAGGATCATATAGGTTTCAGGAGTAGATTCTTTGTTACAAGATCTATATATTTCACTGTGTGCCCATCACCCAAAGTCAAATGATAGTTTTAAAAATTGAGTTGTTGTTGTTTGTTTTTTTGTTTGTTTGTTGTTGTTTTTTTTTTACCACACTAAGGTCTTTAAAATGCAGTGTGCATTTACACTATAGTGCATCTCAATTTGGACTAACCACATTTCATTTCCTCAATAGCAATATGTAACTAGTGGCTATGCATTTATAGGCCATCTCTTAATTATTTAAAAGCAAGGAGATCTCTTAGAAATGAAGACATCCCTTGGCTCTGTTTTTTCTTTTCTTTTGTCCCGTAGGAATTATGTAATTTTATTTATTAATTAACTAGAGGCCCAGTGCACGAAACTTGTGCACTGGTTGGGTCCCTAGCAGCTGCTGGCTGCCAGCTGCCAGTCGGGGCCTCCCTCCCTTCCCCCAGCCCGCCCCACCCCCCAGTTGAACTCCTGGACGACCTCCTGGTCAAGGGGATAATTTGCATACTACGCTTTTATTATATAGGATACACATGATTACAGAAACAGCAAACAGTTCAAAGCAATCTTCCTCCCAGTGCTATTCTTCTAGCCTCCCCAGTCCTTTTCCTGGAGGCAAAATATTATTACCAGTTTGTTGTATATTCTCCCAGAGCTGACTTTATTTATTTATTTTTTTAATGTACATGTGTGGCATTCTTATACATACTGTTCTGCAGCTTGCTTCATTTCATTTAATTAGTTGGAAATATTTCAATCTGAAAATATAGATTGTTTCCTTTTGCTATTGAAAAAGATTGTGCACACATCATTTAACATATATATGAGCATACTTGCTAGGTAAGTTCTTGAAACTAAAGGGTCAAAAAAAGTTCCTGTGATATTCTGTAGATGTTGCTAAACTGTCTTCCATTGTATTAGTATTAATTTTGACTCCCAAGAACCATACAAGAGAGTGGTCTGTTTCACTACATGCTAGTCAACATAGTGTATTATCAAACTTTTTTATCTTTTCCAATTTTTTTAAAAAAGGAATCTTGTTAGTTTTAATTTGTACTTATTTTTATTAGTGATGCTGCATATTTTCTAAATATTTAAGAGCCATTTCATTTTCTATGAACTCCACGTCCTTTGTTCATTTTTCTATTGGATGGTTGGGGCTCTTGTCATTTTCTATGAGTTCTATATATTAAGAAAAGTTTTATGTGACTTTTAACTTTGCTTATGGGCTTATTTTTGCATGCATACATTTTACTGAACTTTCTAGTATGTTATGCCTTTGAGATTTTGGGTCACAAATAACTTAGTCATTAGATAATTTTTAGACAGTTTTCTTAGACTGCTTTTAATTTAGGGGGTTCATATTCATATTTTAAATTCATCTAAAATTCATTTTCATATAGGGTATCAAGGATAGATTAAACTTTATCATTTTTTTCAGACGACTACCCAATTGTTTTAATATATTTATTTGAAATGTCACCATTACCTCAAACCATATTTCTTTTTTATCTATTTCTGGACATTTTATTTCATTGGCCTTAATAGCACTCTATCACCTATCAATGTATAAGTACAAGCTGTTTTAAGTATGATAGCTTTACTTGCTTTTAAATATATTTTAAAGTGGCTACTGCCCTGTTCAAGCTCTATTATGGTTCTTTTTCAGATTATTCCTGGCCATTCGATTTGTTTATTTCCCCCCCACTAACTTTAGAATCAGCTTCTTTCATTCCTCAAAACATTCTGCTAGCATTTTTATTGAGTACATTAAATGAATACATTAATTTGACAATATAAAAGACCATATACCTTTCTACTTGTTTTAAATTTTTATTCCAATAGATTTTCCATGTTTCTTGTGAAGTATACTTCTGGTGTTTTATATATATTTTTTTCTATTATTGTATTTTATTCCACTAACATTTCTGACTGGTTGTTGCTTTTATATATCAAGGCTATTGATTTTTTTTCTTCAGCTACTTTACTGAATTCTGATCAATTCTAATAGTTTTTCAGTTGATTCTCTTGGTAGACCAGTGCACAATCCTATCATCTGCAAATAATGATAACTTTAGTGTTGCTTTCCAGTGTTAATATCTTATTTCTTCTTCTGTTTCATTTGTCTTGGTTAGTAAGCAATGTAAGCAATGGGTTTTTTAATAGCCCAGAGGCAAAGTAATCTTGATTTTTTAAAAAGCTTACATTCTTAAAATATATGTAGTAAGAAAAACTGTGGGGAAAAAAGGCATAACTATATCATGAACAGGGCAGCATTTACTTTATCTAATGGATTATTTATGTATCTTAGTGCCCATTTCTTCCTGTTCTTTCTATCATTTGGACTTTGAAATCTCCATCAATATTGGTCTAGAACATGTTTGAATGAATGAATGAATGAATGAATGAAGAAATAATCATAAGATGAGCACATTTATATCAATCTAGTGAAACTGATTGAATGCTTACTTTATACTAAGCACAAACATGAACAGAGTAGAGTATTCTTAAGGAGTTTAGAGTCCAGTAAGAGAATAGAATACAACTGAGTATGATATGTTTATTGTAGACCTTATGAAACATAATAGAAACAGTATAGAATTGGGAATGTTTAATCCTCTTGGAAAACAGAAAGAGGATTCCTAGGGAATGTGATAATCTGAGATAGTTTTAGAGGAATGTAGAAGAGTCTCTGGGCAAATTGGCGGACTAAGAAGGCATTCTGGGCAGACAACAGTATCATAATATTTATAAGTTGTTGTTATAGTTGGACTATAAACTGTGAGAGGAAGTAGAAGGAGAGAAAAATAGAAACCTGCATATGAAAATCCATTTATATTAGGCAGGAATTCTCAATAGAATTCGGCAGCCAGGACTGTAGAAGAAAACATAGATTCACCTAGAAAGGGCATTTTATAAACTACACTTTTCATCCCTGACTGATCTGCTGGGATGTGACACTAAAGGCAGTGTGCCTTATCTTTCAGGTGTGTTTGAGTAAACGAGTTTGAGAACTACTAATGCAAGTAGTATAAAGCCCGTAAACTGTGTTAAGGAGGCTATGACATCAGATTTGCATTTTAGAACCTTCTTTCTGAGAACCATTTGAAGGAGCCTTGGGGACTGGCGAGGACAGACTGGGCTAGGAGAGAAACCCTTTAAAAAGCTACTGCAATGGGTAATGAGCCAAGATAATGTAAAGCTGGCTACCAAATGTCAGTGAAGAAAATTCAAGGAATATATAGAAAATAGAATTGATAGCTTAGCTAGTGATTTGCTATGTAAGGTGCTAGAGAAGATAGAAAGGAGGTAGGCTTTCTCCACTGTTCTTAGCATTGTGACACGAAGAATTATTTGGGAAAGAAGTGGTTAATATTTACTAATGCATATGACCTTCCCACATGAGCTGGTGATTTTGATCATCTTCATTCTCTGTGACTATAACTATGGCAATGGCAATTGCTGGGAGGACAAGAGTAATCATTTTATTTTTTAAATATATTTTATGATTTCAGAGAAGGAGGGAGAGGGAGAGGGAGAGAGAGAGAGAGAAACATCAATGATGAGAGAGAATCATTGATTGGCTGCCTCATGCATGCTCTCTACCAAGTATCAAGACTGCAGCCTGGGCAACCCAGGCATGTGCCTTGACCAGGAATCGAACCCTGACCTTCTGGTTTATAGGTCGATGCTCAATCACTGAGCCATGCTGGCCGGACAAGAGTAATCAGCTACTGGTCTTCCATGAAAATGAGTATTACAATTTACTATGTCTAAGAATTCCAATACTATTAACGACGTGCTAATTCTCTAAGATGCATTATTCAAGTCAGACATGTATTAATGCACTTTCATTTTTGTCTCTGTACTCTTTAGAATTCACTCCGAGGGCAGCCTTGTGGATGGCCCCGAAGCAAGCCTGATGGAACAGGATAGAACCAACCATGTGGAGGGCAACAGACTAAGTCCATTCTTGACACCATCTCCTTCTCCCATCTGCCAGACAGAACCTCTGGCTATAAAGCTCCAGAATGGAAGCCCATTACCAGAGAGACCTTATCCAGAAGTGAATGGAGACACCAAGTGGCAATCTTTCAAAAGTCATTATGGAACACCCCATATGAAGGGCAGCCAGAATAGTCGTGTCAGCCCGGACTTTATACAAGAAGGCAGAGGGTATTCCCAGTGTTTGCAGAATGGAGGGATAAAACGCACAGTTAGTGAACCTTCTCTCTCTGGGCTCCATCAGAACAAGAAGTTGAAACAAGACCAAAAGGCCAATGGAGAAGGAAAGAACTTCGGGGAAAGACAAGAAAGAAATCCAGGCAAAGGCAGCAGTCAACCAAATGTCTCCGATATGAATGACAAGAGAGAATCTGTGAGCTCTGTGGCCCCAGAAAATGCAGTTAAAGATACCACCAGTTTTTCAACACACAACTCGAGTGGGTCTGAAAATGCAGAGCAGCAGATTCTGAATGAGCAGGAGGGCAAAGATGCTAACTACCATGACAAGAACATTGTATTACTTCTTAAAAACAAGTCAGTGCTAATGCCTAATGGTGCTACAGTTTCTGCCTCTTCCATGGAAAACACACATGGTGAACTCCTGGAAAAAACACTGTCTCAATATTACCCAGATTGTGTTTCCATTGCGGTGCAGAAAACCACATCTCACATACATGCCATTAACAGTCCGGCTATTAATGAGTTGTCCTGTGAGATCACTCACCCGTTGTATACCTCAGGGCAGACCAATTTCCCACAGACCTCGAACTCTGAGCTGCCTCCAGAGCCAGCTGCAGTCATGACTGAGGCCTGTGACGCTGATAATGTCAGTAAACCAGCTGCAATGCTAGGTACCTGTTCCTTTCAGAAACCAGAACAACAAAAACCAGTTTTTGAGATATGCCCATCTCCTGCAGAAAACGGTAACATCCAAGGAACCACAAAGCTAGTGGCTGGTGAAGAATTCTGTTCAGGTTCCAGCAGCAATTTGCAGGCTCCTGGTGGCAGCTCTGAACGGTATTTCAAGCAAAATGAAATGAATGGTGCTTACTTCAAGCAAACCTCAGTGTTCTCTAAGGATTCCTTTTCTGCCACTGTCACACCACCACCATCACAGTTGCTTTTGTCTCCTCCTCTTCCAGAGGTTCCTCAGCTTCCTTCAGAAGGAAAAAGCACTCTGAGCGATGATGTTGTGGAAGAACACCATCACTACCCCAACCAAAGTAATACAGCTCTTTTAAGGGAAGTGAAAATAGAGGGTGAACCGGAGGCACCACCATCCCAGAGTCCTAACCCACCTACACATGTATCTATCCCCTCTCTGACACTTCCAGAAAGGCTTCAGAATAATTGTGTTAACAAGAATGACATACGGACTCCAGGGACAATGACTGTTCCATTGTGTCCTGAGAAAGCAAGACAAACACCAGAACATCCCAAGCATAACCCACCAATTCTTGGTAGCAGTGGAGAGCCACAGGACCACTGCCAGCAGCTGATGGGGCACAAAGAACAGGAGGTTCTGCAGGGTCAAGATAAGCAACAAACACTCGATCTTGTGCTCCCAACACAGCCCCATCTGAAACCAGGATGGATTGAATTGAAGGCCCCTCAATTTCCTCAAGCAGAATCCCATCTAAAATATAAAGCACCTCTGCGGTCAGTTCTTCAGTATCAGTCCAACTCCTCCAATCAAATGACCTCCAAACAATACACTGGAAATTCCAACATGCCTGGGGGGCTCCCAGGGCAAGCTTGCACCCAGAAAATGATGCAGCCAGAGCAGAGGCCACAAAGGTACCAACTTGAGATGAATCATGGGCAGTCTCAAGGTACAGTGGACCAGCATCTCCAGTTCCAAAAACCCTCACTCCAGGTGCACTTCTCCAAGACAGACCCTTCCCCTGAAGCTCACACACAGTCACTGTGCACCCCTAGGTTTCATTTTCAACAGAGACCAGACTCCGAGTATAAGAAACTCATGCCCTCACCATTAAAGCAGCACTTGAATCAACAGGCTTCAGAGACGGAGCCCTTCTCAAACTCACATCTTTTGCAACATAAGTCTCATAATCAGGCAGCACAAACACAGACATCCCAGAATTCACATCTCCCTCAAAACCAGCAGCAACAGCAAAAATTACACATGGAGAATAAAGAACAAATGCCCCATACTTTTTCTCATCCCCAAGGCAACTGTGGTCAGCAAAGGGAAGGATTGTTCTTTAGCCAGATTAAAGTGGAAGAACGCTTTCATGATGAAAATCAATATTCAAAATCAAGTGAGTTTCAGACTCATAATACCCAAATGGGATTGGAGCACATACAGAATATGAACAGTAGAAATTCCCCTTATGGTCATAGCTTGAAGTCAAATGCAAGCAAAGTACAGATTTCTTGTCCAAACAACATTCACCCAGCTTCAAAGAATACAGAACAGACTTTACATCCTGAACATTTTTCTGGAAACAAGACCCAAAACTTGCATCACATGCAATATTTTCCAAATAATGTGACCACAAAACAAGATGGTCTTCACAGGTGCTTTCAAGAACAAGGACAGAAGCCTCCACAGGCTTCCGTTCTGCAGGGATATAAAAGTAAAAACCAAGATTTGTCTGGCCAACAAGCTACACAACTCACTCAGCAAAGGTACCTGATGCACAACCAAGCCAACGCTTTCACTGTGCCTGAGCAAGGAGGAAGTCACATTCAGACCCCTCCCCAGAAGGACATTCAAAAGCACGCTGCTCTGAGATGGCACCTCTTACAGAAGCAAGAGCAGCAGCAAAACCAACAACCCCAAACTGAGTCTTGCCACAATCAGGCACACAGGCCAATTAAGGTTGAACCTGGATCCAAGCCCCATGCCTGTATGCACCCCAAGTCAGCACAGCCAGAAAACAAAATGTGGAAAAAGATAACTAAGCAAGAGATTCCACCCCCGAGCTGTGATAATGTGCAGCAGAGGAGCATTCTTGAGACCATGGAGCAACACCTGAAGCAGTTCCAGGTCAAATCACTATTTGACCATAAGGCTCTTACTCTCAAATCACAGAAGCAAGTAAAAGTTGAAATGTCAGGGCCAGTCACAGTTTTATCTAGACATACCAGTGCTGCAGAACTCGATAGCCACACCCCAGCTTTAGAGCAGCAGGCAACTCCTTCAGAAAAGACACCAACCAAAAGAACAGCTGGTTCTGTTCTCAATAATTTTATAGAGTCACCTTCCAAATTACTAGATACGCCTATAAAAAATTTATTGGATACACCTGTCAAGACTCAATATGATTTCCCATCATGCAGATGTGTAGGTAAGTGCCAAAAATGTTCTGAGACATATGGTGTTTATCCAGAATTAGCAAATTCATCTTTAGATATGGGACTTTCTTTTTCTTTTCCTTTTTTTCTTTTTTTTTTTTAGTCTGGCAGCAATTTTTAAAGGCTCATAAAAATCTGAAGCTTACATTTCTTGTCTTTGAATTACAAATGCTTGTGCTGTGCAAGAAAGAACTTCACTTACAGTTTTTTTTCAAAATATTAAAACAATTGTGCATGCTCATTTTTCTCTGTATTCAAACCTTTTAAAATATAAAGCTATCCTCTATAGAGTAATCAATCTGTTTGTCTTTATAAATAATTTTTTGGAGAGACAGCTAGGCAGTAAAAACATCTATTAAAATGAGAAAAATAACTGTCATATGCAAACTAGTGTAGAAGCTTTTAATATTTTTTAATTTGGGGTTGAAGGTATTAGTTTTACAAGGCTAATTTCTATAAGGGAGAAATTATCTTCAGTCTTGTTGAGTTGGGGCAGTGGTTGGCAAACTGCGGCTTGCAAGCCACATGCATGGCTCTTTGGCCCCTTGAGTGTGGCCACGAAGTTTCAATCGCACTGTACGTGTGCGCCCGCACGTGGTATTTTGTGGAAGAGCCACACTCAAGGGGCCGCAGTTTGCCGACCACTGAGTTGGGGGAAATTGTAATGCTTGAAGTTCTGAATATTCATGAAGTTGCCCTTTCTCCATTTATATACTTGAAATATTGTGTGATTTATATTCATTTTGATTCTATTTTCTCTTTAAAGTTTTATCTTTTTTATAAATATATGTAATTTCCTATTTTTGAAACAAACACCTTTTTGTTAAAATTCAAGATACGTGACAGGTCTGTTGGAATAAGGAAACATTTTGCTGATGGATGCAGATTTTATACATATATGTGGATATCTTAATCATAGCTATTCAGCTTGGGTACAGTAGAAGACATTTGGAAAAACATGTCAAAAACTAATGTGGCTAGTGGTCCACCCACCCCATGTTATTCCTCTTATGATGGGACACCCTGCATCTTATAGGCGATGAGGGAGGATGGCCACTGTCCCTTTGTGTGTGGTCAGGATTAGGTTGCCTCACTGGGCTAAGTGCCACACATGTCATAGATAATATTAGGTAAGTTATAACCACCTTCACTCCTTTCTCCCATCACCCTAACCCTTTTCTCCCCCACATCCCATCTTTGACAGGAGCCTCTTCCTTTTACCTGACCCACTCTCCAGTATTTTTTCACTTCAAAAAATTGTTCTAAAGTATGTACAAATATGGGTCTGGAGTCAATGTTTTTAATTTCAAAACAGAGTGATAAAATGTTGTGGGGAGACAAGAGGAGAAAAAGGTATCTTGACAATAAACTGAGAAATCACCTAGGGGCAAGATAAGATAGGAAATTATATTCTAATCTTTTAACATCCAAGTAGCAGGCAGAATTCCAGTTAGCTATAAAAACATTTTTTAGTGTACAAAACCAATTGTAGTTGATATTACATATAATATATTATAATCCCCACACTTTTTCTTGTTTGGTTCCATGCATTTGGTATAAAATAATTTCTTAGTCCATATCTGAAATATAATTTTATACATTTTTTATCCAACAGCCAACATATGCATATACTTAATTATTTCACACATTTTCTAATAAATGACTCCCTTAATTTACTCATTCGGGGGGAAAAATGTGTAAAGTCACATTTAGGGCCCATAATGTGCAGTTGGGGGATAAGCTTTGTGGATGTAGCCTTTATATTTAGTATAATTGAGGTCTAAAATAATAATCTTCTATTATCTCAACAGAGCAAATTATTGAAAAAGATGAAGGTCCTTTTTATACCCATCTAGGAGCAGGTCCTAATGTGGCAGCTATTAGAGAAATCATGGAAGAAAGGTAATTAACGCAAAGGCACAGGGCAGAGTAACGTTTATCCTTTTGTATATGTCAGACTTTTTCCAGCTTACACACACACAAAGCAGTAAACAATCGTAAATTGAGTAATTACTAGTAGGCTTAGCTATTCCAGGGTTGCCAATCCTACACACTGTGCTATTCACCAGGGAGTCACAATATTTGACAGGACCAAGAGTCTGCGAGCTGGCACAGGCTGCCCACTTTGACATGGGTGCCAGAAAACCCAGGCACGAGCAAGAATCATCCTGCTTGCCAGGCATAAGGGTGCTGGCACAAGCTGCAGAGAGAGGCCCCACTGTGGCTCTCCCACTGGGCGATAAAGTGTCAAAGAGGAAGAGGGGGGACGTGTGGTTTAAGAAAGGAACCCGTTGAGTTAAATTCACCTAGAATTGTAAAGGCGTAGTCCTCTCTAAGGAAGTTGTCCCCAGTCTGAGCAAAGGGCAAGTGTGATATACTGAATAGAAATAGAGACATTCTATTTATAGTTGCATTTTCTTTTTTTACTGTCAGTCACAGGTATGCAAGTACTTACCTGAATCTACAGTTACTCCTGCATGTAGAAGACTCTTAAGAGCGAGATACTCAATGCAGAGAGATATTCATATAGGTATCCACAGCTCTTGAGCTGTTACTATGCTAGGATGCCTTTTCTCTAAGAGGTAGGCAGTGTTATCATTGAAATACATTAGGAGACATGCTGGGCAGCAAGGACATACTTTGCATCATTCTTGCCCAATTTCCAAATTAGCATGTAGAAATTTACTAATCATTTCGTGCCCCCCTTTTTATTTATTAACAAGTAGTAAGTAGTACCTTGGTCAGAAGGGAAAATATAATCAATTTCTAGAACTATCCTATATTCTCAGTATTGCTGGATACTAGCTATTTGCCAGCTTCCTTCTTAAAAATGTGAGAGTCTTTGAGGAACAGTTATAACTAAAATCTATTATGATTCCCTATGTTTAAAATAGCTAAATTCAGTTAAGGACAAAAATCAAATAGTATATATCTTAGAAGACTGGATTTAGCAAACCTAAAAAAGTCTTGTGCTTTGTGAAATTATGTATAAAACTAAGTTTTCCCATTATTTTCACCTAACATATAATTTTGAAATAGTTCATTACAATTATCAGTATATTCTTATGCTGAAGAAAAACAAGGCTTAACGTCTATTATCTAGTTTGCTTGGCATAAACTTTTAAAAAAATAAACCATTTATTTCTCAGGATGTGGTAATAGAGTAAAATTACACTCAGATGTTCAATATTTTGGGTGTCTTTTAGGCCCATTTGCTAATTTTATGTGTGTGTGTGTGTGTGTGTTTCTGTGGATTTCTTTAAGGTTCGGACAGAAGGGTAAAGCTATTAGGATTGAAAGAGTCATCTATACTGGTAAAGAAGGCAAAAGTTCTCAGGGATGTCCTATTGCCAAATGGGTAAGTGTGACTTGACAGGGCTTTTGGTCTTCAGTTCTGGGCATTTTCATTCATTAAATTTAACCCTGAAAAAATTATGTTAACCCAGATCAAAGAGTTATTTATACCAGCTAAAAGGAATATTGCTTATATTTATCTTATCATGTGTTATCTCTTAAGAAAAAGACAGATTAGTTTTATAATCATATGCTAACCATATTTAATTGAAAGAATTGAATGGTGAGAAGGAGGTCCATTCAGGCACCTGCTACAAGTATAATTCTTCCTTTAAATACCTTCACATCATTTATGAAAACCTTGATCTTTATGAAAAAGACCTGCATGTCTTCCCTCTAGCTCTGGCTTTAATTCAGGGAGCATTGCCCCAACTCTGCTGGGTATACAGTAGTCAGCTAAACATTGAGCAGTTTTTCACCTCTCCCAGTTCTGACCCCAGGGCAAACCCCCACTTTGTACATGGGCTACAAAAGGCAAGTTGTAGGGGGTGGTAAATGTTGCCCTGTGACCCAGACGTGAGAAAATATGCATACATAAATCAGTGCTGACATCTGCTGCAAGTGACCCTTGTCTTGTTTTGGTTGGGGTGGGGGGTGTTGGGGTGGAATGGTGACCCGCACAGGTGGTGCGCAGAAGCAGCAGCGAGGAGAAGCTACTGTGTTTGGTGCGGGAGCGAGCTGGCCATACCTGTGAGGCTGCAGTGATTGTGATTCTCATCCTGGTGTGGGAAGGCATCCCCCTGTCTCTGGCTGACAAACTCTACTCGGAGCTCACCGAGACGCTGAGGAAATACGGCACGCTCACCAACCGGCGGTGTGCCCTGAATGAAGAGTAAGTGAAGCCAGGACCTCTTCTCTCTTTCCACGGATAGCAAAGCCTGATGGTTGGTTGGAGGGAAGAGAGTTGAACCTGCATTTTCACATTTATAAAATGGGGGTCAAAATGCCTGCTTCACAGTCATGCAATAGGAGGTTGTGTTTGCTAACATGGACAGTGTGAGATGATTTCATTAATATTTTGTACCTTCAGATAACATAGCCGTTAGTTAGGACCAGCTTGCTAAGTGTCTGTACCCGCATGAACTCAGTCGCACCATAAACTTGAAAATACTTGTCTATCTACTTGCTGCAAATGACAACTCTTTTGTGTGCCTGGCCATCACATTAGTAAGTATTGACATCACCTGTAAGTGGCAGTACTTGAAACAAAAGACGTTTGCTGAGAAACTTTGGGATTCCCAGGTGAAGGACCGTAATTGTATACGTAGCAAACAAAACACAAGACCTGTAGTAGAAGTTATAGAGAACCAAACCAATTTTGGCTTCCATTTAACCTAGTTCATTATTTCCACAATAGCAATCAAAATTGCTTCCATTTCTACTATGTCTAAATCTTCAAGAATTTAGTGTCCATCGGATATGCATTTTTTCCAGGAATATATAAATATTTGGAATAGAAGAACAGGGTTTGCACTTAAATATATTTAGTGCATCCAAGTGTTAGTATGTTTTTTTGTTTATATTCCTGTTTGTTTTCAACTCCCTCCACTTGCAGGAGAAATCTTTATTTTTTTTTATTATTCCTCTACTATGCCATTCCTGTATAACATTCAAAGACTATAGGATAATTCACTATGCTACACTGAAATCCTACCATACTTAGTTTACTTACAATTGATTCTAAAATAATTTTGATTTTGCATTTCTTCCTTTAGTCTCCTTTCCTCTGTATCCACCAAACTGCAAAATAGTTTACTGAGCTTATGCAAATACTATATTGCTCATTGCAACAACCCATTGCTAACCAATTTTTTTTTTGCTATTAGTCTAACTGGTATGGTTTTACTAATTTTATCTTAAAATAGGTTCTCTCTCTGGGTCATGAGGGAGTGCAAATCAACTATAAATAATCTGCTTAAGAAAGTTGTTTTTTTTTTGTACATGAAATTGTTGCTTGACTTTCTATGGTAGTTGTAATCCAAAAATGTCATGGTATGCACCTCACTGCCATAAATCTACATGTGGTGGAAGGTCAAAGTTGCTGATTTCAGAACACATGACTCAGACTTACAATGGACTGCTTTAGGTGTAACATACTATTCAGCTTACCCCAACTTCCCTGTTCCTCGTTTAAAAATGTACTTTAGGTGCCTGGAATCAAAAAGGAAATGAAAGTTAAGGCACCTTGAGCTAATTGTTGGTGATAGCATTTTTCTCAGAAATTCATTAACACTGCCTTGTATTTTTAAAGCAGACTTCCTCCTAGACTTGATGGCTTGAACTTCTAAACCAGTGAAGAATTTGTTTAAATTTATTGAAGTATCATGCAACTATATTTGTAATTGATTTAAGCTTCATTAATATTATACATCTCTGGTATTTTTATATATTTAGTGCACCTAAGTGTTGTATATTTTGTTAAGGTTTTTCTTTAATTTCTACAAATGCCATTGCCTGAAGTGGAGTCAGACATTCTATATGAAGAACTCTCCTAAAATGTGTTATTTTGCATTTGGAAACCAGAACAATAATTGGGCGAGGGTCTAAGCAAAGTTATAATTGGTCTTAATAGGAGGTAATTACAAAATTATGAAAACATGTACTTCAAATAGTAAGACATTTTAAAGGCCAATCTGTAAACTTTTGCTTATCTTTGTTTAGTATTTCAAGGTGAAGATGAGTAACGATTTAGATGAAATTTTCACTTTGGGCCATTCTCCAAATAGTAATTCTCCAAAAAACTGTACTTGAGAAATATGATTAAAATAGATTCTTCACAACAGAGACTTCACTCAGATACACTTTATAAGTTTCTTCTACCCCATAAAATAAATTTTATGTTTGGCAGAAGTTAAAGTTATGATTCTTTGCCAAGAACATAGGATAATATCACATTGGAGCTGCTGACCCAGCTTAATGTTCAAAGCTGTGTGAGCCTCGTCGCTGAGTTCTTACAAATCCCAGTGCCCACAAGCACCATCACCACCCACTGTGAGTCCAGGAAGGGACTCGGAGCGCTTTCAGTGGGACAGTCAGAAACGGACTTTTACATCCTCGGAGCCAAAGCAGCTGTTCCTCCTTTAAAGATTCCCCTTTGAGATTTCCATTTTATGACTAAGCCTAACCAATATGTTTTTGGCAAGTTAGTGTGTGGGAGTGTACCTGTCATCATAAGAAAGTCAAAGCCAGAAATGCTTTCTGCCAGGCTGGGTGATGTTAAACTTGTAAAGAAATTTGCTGTTACAGACTGGCAGCTGTCAGAGGGGAGGGAGTAAGGGGGATGGGTGAAAAAGGCGAAGGGATTCAGAAAACAAAACAAACCTCATAGACAGACAACAGTATGGTGATTATCAGAGGGAAATGGGGGTGGGAGGAGGGAGAAGAGGGTATGGGGGGGATAAATGGTGGTGGAAGGAGAGTTGATTTGGGGTGGTAAACACACAATATACAGATGATGAATTATAGAATTATACACCTGAAACCTATATAATTTTATTAACCAGTGTCACCCCAATAAATTCAATTTAAAAAAAAGTAACTGCAATTACAGAAATGTACATTAAATGGAGGTGTGTAGTGTAACAAATCCCTATGGGCCCATCACACAGCTTCAATATTTATCACCATTTTATCAACACCATTTAATATATTTTCACCACACAGTCTACTCCCATCCCCACCCCCCACTAGTGTTTTAACACAGAACACAGTTACCATATTCTCTCACCTATGTACATTGCAGTATTGCAGTGTGTATATCTAACAGATGACTTATTTTACAAAGCCTAGTCACAGTGTCATATCAATCACCTTAACATTTATGGTTTAATGTTCAGACCATGTTCAAATTCCTGAATTGGATCCTGTTTCCCTCCCAAAAAAATATTAAAAGTAAAAAGATACTGAGAAAAGATAAGTCCACACCTTGCATTTGATTGATGCTTTTGAGTAGAGTAGTCCCAGTTCGTGTCTGTTATCTAGCGTAAGTGTTAATAGAACTTCTTTCATTCTCAGAAGTGTCCCATTTTGGAAGACAAGTTGTATGATTCACAAGCCTCTTTTTATTTATAATAGTTTCCCTCTCTTTTTTTTTTTATGAACTTATTTGTAATAGAAACTATGTGATTTGCTCTGTAAAATTTCCCATATTCTGGATTTGGCTCACTGGACAGTTGTTTCATTGAATGTGTTCTCTGCCCCTATATCTTCTGTACACTGGTAAAAAATGCTTCATAAATGGTAATGAAATAATCTTAGTTTTTCTTATCTACCAGGTGGGACGTACATCTGCTTCGATTCCTTTACAGTATTGTTAGGAGTGTTCAGTTAGTTCAGGATTGTCAGCTTGATTCATCCACCCTGAAGTTTCCCTGAAAACTTTCACCAAATGATTTAATGCATCCATTATCATTTCCTCTTTCCAATTCGAGTTTGCGAATTGATATTTTTCTTATTCTCTGATGTATAAATGTCAGTGTTATATGCATCTAATTTATCTTTGCTAGTTTTTCCATACTTGCATAAGTTTAAATATCCAGATGGTAAATCAAAAGGTTGAGAATGTTTTTAAAAATCTGTTATGTAGATGAATTATTTCTATTACAGTTGCTCTACTGATTTATAATTTAACCATGAGCCAAACACTGTGTAATAGTAAAGTGAAGACGGTATGTGTTAATTCTAACAATATTTGAAAGACCCTTATAGAAATAAAAATCCCTTTTATTAGCCACTTCAAGTAGGAAATCACCTTGAAATCATTCCAACTTGTTATATAGGGATGTTTTTTGTTTGTTTGTTTTTTTATATTGACTTTCTTCTTTTATTCTTTTTGTCAGTTTTTTTTAAGAAAAACAATTTTAAATATAGTAATGGTACATGCAATAAACCTTAATATTTCAAGAAAGACAATCTTAAATATAATGTTACATGCAGTAAGCATTAATATCTCAAGAAAAATGATTTTAAATATGATAATGCTACATGCAATAAACACCAACTATTCAAAAAAAAGTTCTCACATATAATATTACATGCAATATAAATTAATATTTCAAGAATAAAAATATTTTAAGTATAATATTACCAAAACTGTACAAACATAGTATGATATCACAAAAGTTGTAGGAAATACTAAAAATCTGCAAATAACAAGATTACTTCTATTATATTCTAGAATATTTTTCCCCCTCTGGCTCTATTTTTATCAGTCTATGTTGTGCATTATATTCCAAAAATGAGTGAGATCATATGATATTTATATTTCTCCAACTTGCTTATTTCACTTAGCATGATGCTTTTAAAGTCTATTTTGTCGGATATGAGTATTGCTACTCCAGCTCTTTTTTTTTTTTCCATTTGCATGGAAAAATTTTTTCTATCCCTCACTTTCATCCTGTGTGTGTCTTTTGTTTTGAGGTAGGTCTCTTGTAGACAGCATGTAGGTGGGTCATGTTTTTTTTATCCATTCAGCTACCCTACCTTTTCATTGGAGCATTTAATCCATTTACATTTAGGGTTATTATTGAGAGGTACTTATTTATAGCCATTTTAATTCTGAATGGCTAGGTTTCTCTCTCTGTTTCTTCTTTTCAACAGTCCCTTATAAGATAGCACAGCCCAGCCGAGGCACAGGCTGGAAATGTGGGCCGGAACTCTACATCTGATGAGAGTGAAGATCAATCTCAGATCTAGGGAAACTCAGATACCCATAAATTATCAGCACCTGAATCTACATTGTTTTCAGAGACTGAAACAATAATTAAACTTCCAGGGATTAGGTGTCTTAATTGTAGGACCACAAAAACTGATGGGAAGAGGAGAATAGAAAGG